TATATATATATATATATATATATATATATATATGTCGAAAGAAAAATTAAAATATAAATTAAATTAATGAAAAATGGTCAATGCAAAATTATAAAATTTTAGAGGGGATATATATACATTTTGAAAACCAGTTCCCTAAGTAAAACTAACTACTAAAGCTGAAGGGGCAAAAACTAAAACTTATGAAAACAAATAAGCTCACTTTTAAGACGGTGGAAAAAAGAGTCGAACCCTCGTCACCAAGTCAACAGGCGCGCATAATTAATCCTTCAAGCCATCTGAACTACCTTAATTTCGTTTATATTGTTGTATAAAATAGTATATATTAAGATATGAAATATATATAATTTGGTTAAAATCGGGCTTTTTTCTCGGGGGCCCTGTACGGCTGCACACTTTGCACACCCTTAGGGCCGGCCCTGATCGTGCCTAAAATCTTGCCTAAATTTCAATTCAATCCATTGTATCAAGCTATTTTTCTGATTCAATTCCACGTGGTTACTATTGTGAAAATAATATCATTCATTATGTTTAACAAATCAAGATGAAGATTTGTATGTGAAAGCTGAAAATATGGTTTCGTGAACTTCATAATCAAAATTAACCCCTCTTTTTTTACGAGGCGAAATGCACATAATAGCAACGTAATTTTATTTATTTCTATGTATTAATGTATCCAACTTCTATTTTTTTCTATTTTTCTTATCAAGGCATTGTATATTGGCATGTATCCCGAAATTAACAGTATACTTATATATTTTTTCTTATGTCAGGGGCTTACATGACCATCCAGGGGCGGAGCCAGGATTTAAGATTAAGGGGGCTCACATAGTAATAATATATTAAAATATAATGTTATACCCGCATAAAGTAATAAGTCTAAATTTTTTTTTTAAAAAAAATGACAAAGAATTAAAAATTTGTCTCCATTAGCCTGAATCTTCAAACGTTTTCAACTAAAAGCATCGACTCATATTCATCCATTAACCTGCAAGTATTAAAATAAGTAATTATAACATAGATAGATATGGTTCATTTTACAAAATTAAAATATATATAAACATAAGAAATAGTACCTTATGCACTTTAAGTTGTGCTCGTCTTTGTTTAATGGAATAGAAATCATTTATAATATCATCCGTAGGAAATGTATCGGCAATCTCTCTCTCTCTCTCTCTCGATGTTAACAAGCAAACAACTTTTAAGAAAATCATCATTCATGGTATTTCGAAGTCGTGTTTTCACAGTTTTCATTGCTGAAAATGCTCTTTCAGATGTCGCAATAGAAACAGGGAGAGTCAATATAAGACGAATCAATCTATCAAGCAAATGATAAGTACCTGATTTCCCTATTTCATGTAGGCCTCTACACAACTTAGAAATTGTAGACGAATTTTTCAGTTGTGGGTGATTTTGCACATCTAGTTCATAATGTTGTAACTCAAGTTTCAACAAATTCCTTTCGTTCTCCGTAAAGTCCATAGGATAATATGATGTTGCCAATTTACATATATCCTCAACATTTAAGGATTTTCTTGGATCTAGCATAACGCTGAGACGGAGAAGCTCTGTTGCAGACTCATTAAATCTAGAGTTCAACTCTTGCAACTGACTATCAATAGCAGCAATGAATACTTCAACTTGATAGTGATGCTCTGTGGTTATATTGTCTTTTTCACGACGTTGGCGAATTACATATCTATAAGTTTCATTCATGTTACGGACAGGAATGCTATTTTTCTCACAAAAAGAAACCACTTGGTCCAAAAGCGATTGCCAACCTTCATCTCTCAACTTTTGAATCAATATTTTTGTTGTAGAAACCAAGGATAGAGCATTAACAATATCAATAGATTTTTGTTGTAAAGTTTGGCAAAGCTTGTCAGTTATCCCTATTATTTCTTTCATCATGTGCATAACAATGACAAAATCGAATGATAAGGCATGTGTAAGTGCATATGCCGCATCACCTCTTTGAGAAGATGTAGAACCTTTTATAGCAATGTCATTCAATACTACACAAGATGGACCAAACAATCTCATCAAACTGCATATTGATTTGAAATGAGAGCTCCACCTAGTATCTCCAGGCCTCTGCAATGTTTGTATTTGATTTATGCCTTTTCCACTCTCAATTTCTCCAACCTCAGTTAAATGAGAAATTTCAGCAATTTGAGCATCTTGCAATTGATCATTACGTTTGGAAGAAGAAGATATGACATTAACTACAAAGTTTAAGGTTTTAAAGAAGTTATGTACCTCAATCACATCTTTAGACGCTGCTACCAGAGCCAATTGTAGTTGATGTGCAAAACAATGTATATAATAAGTGTATGGACATTCCTTTAATAATAAAGCTTGCAACCCATTCCATTCTCCACGCATGTTACTAGCCCCATCATATCCTTGACCCCGAATATCTTGAACACTAAGTTTATGATAAGATAAAGAGCATAATATCTTATTTTTCAAGGTCAATGAAGTTGTATCTTTAACATGAATTAAGTCCAAAAACCTTTCTTTGACATGTCCATCTTGGTCAACAAATCTCACAACAATAGCCATTTGCTCTTTCTTAGATCCATCTTGAGACTCGTCAACTATTAAACAAAATTTTGACATCCCGATTTCATCACGAATTGCTTTTTGTACATTTGTAGCTACAACATGTAAATTTTCTTTTTGGATATCTGGTGATGTGTACTTTGCATTTTGAGGAGCATTTTCTAACACAACATCAGCAACAGTCTTGTTATAAGAAGCAAGGAATTTTATTAATTCAAGAAAATTCCCTTGATTTCTTGAGTTAGGTCGTTCATCATGACCTCTTAAAGCACATCCTTGAAATGTGAGCCATTTAATGGCTTCAATAGAAACTTTAAGACGTAGTCTATTGTCCATAACTTGTTGAGTAGTTTGCTTCTCTATCACATTCTCTATGTGACATAATTGGTTTTTTAGATCTTTATAGCACCTAACAGAAAAATTATGCGCTGAGGCTGGAGTCTTACCTTCATGTACAATGAAAGCACAGTCTTTACCACAATTTACCTTTTTCCATTTATTAAACCCTGATACGGTAAATGTATCTGACCTGAATTTGCCAATAGGTTTTTTATTGAAAAGGAAGCAAGGGAAGCAAAATGCAACATCTTTTTTCTAAGAATATTCCAACCACCAAAAATTCTTGAACCAAGCTTGTTGAAAATTGCGCATAGATCCTCTTGGACCACTAGGACTGAATGGATACTTTGATTTTTGTAATTGGTATGGTCCAAGTTTAATATATAATCGTCTAATCTCATCACGCTGGTTACTTGGATAGCTTAAGATTGAAGGTCGTTCTCCTGGATCACGAATCAAAGAATCTGACATATTATTTTTTTCATGTTCAATATTATTGGGCTCTTCAATGTTACTATTTCAATCAGGTTGTGGGTGTGTATTTTGAACATCTTCTTCAATATTATCACTAACATGATGCAATTGTGGGTCACACACATCCTTTGTTCGTTTGAAAAAAGAATCGATAGTTCTTTTCTTGCTCATAATTTATCCTATAAATTTATAATTATAACAAACCAAATTATAAAACCATAACTAAATTATTAATTACAAATAACAATAAATAAAATATGCAATAAAAAATAAAATTTACCTACTTAATTAAATAACTGAAATCGCTGTAACAGTTTTGCCGAAAAACAAATTTAACCACTTTGATGAATAACAATAGCTGCACACTCTCTTGAAAGTTGAACCCTTGATGAAACGTCGATTAACAAACCCTTTTTTTATAAATAAATGGGGTATTTTGGTGTGGGTATTGATTCATATGGTCATATCTAATAACCAATTAAATTATATATATATAT